ATGATTTTATTTATTTTTATTTATTTGATTTGATTTGTGTACCGCCCTTCTCCAGCAGGACTCAGGGCGGTGAACAGCCGAGATAAAACAGAGCATACAAAATTTAAAAAACAGTTTAAAAGGTAATTAAATAATTTCGACCCACAATTTAAAACAACCCAATTAAAACCAATTTCAAATTAAAACCGAACGGATGGGATCAAGCCAGCCCGGCTAGGTGAAATAAATGAGTTTTCAGGGCCCGACGAAAAGTCCGGAGGTCTGGTATCGTGCGTATCTCTAGGGAGAGGTCGTTCCAGAGGGCGGGTGCCGCCACAGAGAAGGCCTTCCCCCTGGGGGTCGCCAGCCGACATTGTCTGGCGGACGGCACCCTGAGGAGGCCCTCTCTGCGAGCGTACTGGCCGGTGGGAGGCTGGATGAAGCGTCGTATCTGGATCCGTTCCAGTCGGGTTTCAGGCCTGGATACAGCACGGAAACGGCATTGGTCGCGTTGGTTGATGATCTCTGGAGGGCTCGGGACAGGGGCTGCTCCTCTGTCCTGGTCCTGTTAGACCTCTCAGCGGCTTTTGATACCATCGACCATGGTATCATGCTGCACCGGTTGGAAGAGTTGGGGGTGGGAGGCACCGTACTAAGGTGGTTCTCCTCCTTTCTCTCCGACCGGTCGCAGTCTTTGTTGACAGGGGGGCAGAGGTCGACCCCGAGGCCCCTCATATGTGGGGTGCCGCAGGGATCGGTCCTCTCGCCCCTTTTGTTCAACATTTATGTAAAGCCGCTGGGCGAGATCATCCGTGGTTTTGGGGTGAAGTACCATCAGTACGCGGATGACACCCAGCTGTACATCTCCACCCCGGACCACCCCAACGATGCCCTTGAAGTGATGTCCCAGTGCCTGGAGGCCGTACGGATCTGGATGGGGAGGAACAGGCTCAGGCTCAACCCATCCAAGACCGAGTGGCTGTGGTTTCCGACGTCCCGATATAGTCAGCTACTGCCATCGCTGACTATTGGGGGCGAATCATTGGCCCCCACGGATAGGGCTCGCAACTTGGGTGTCCTCCTGGATTCACGGCTGTCGTTAGAAGAGCATGTGACGGCCGTGTCCGGGAGGATTTTTCATCAGGTTCGCCTGATCCGCCAGTTGCGTCCCTATCTAGATCGGGACTCCCTACACACAGTCACTCATGCCCTCGTTACTTCTCATCTGGACTACTGCAACACTCTCTACATGGGGCTCCCCTTGAGGTGCACTCGGAGGCTCCAACTGGCGCAGAGTGCGGCCGCGCGGGTGGTGATGGGAGTGACATGGAGTTCCCATGTGACACCTCTCCTGCGCGAGCTGCACTGGCTCCCGGTGGTCTTCCGAGTGTGCTTCAAGGTTCTGGTTATCACCTTTAAAGCGCTCCATGGCTTAGGACCTGGTTATTTACGGGACCGCCTGCTACCACCAATAGCCTCCCACCGGCCAGTACGCTCCCATAGAGAGGGGCTCCTCCGGGTGCCGTCGGCCAAACAATGTCGGCTGTCGGCCCCTAGGGGGAGAGCCTTCTCTGTGGGGGCACCTACGATTTGGAACGAGCTCCCCCCGGAGATTCGTAGGATCCCGGATCTGCGCACCTTCCGCCGCGCGCTTAAGACTTTTCTATTTTATCAAGCTGGCCTGGCCTAAATCTTCCCCCTTTTTAAATGTGGAAATTTTAAAATTTAAATTCGTCTTATTTATAGGGGTATGGGTAAGGCGTTTTAAATTGGGGAGCCATTTTAGATTTAATTCTGTTTTAAACGTATTTTAATTGTTTATATTGTATGTTTTTAATTTTGGCTGTTCACCGCCCCGAGTCCTTCGGGAGAGGGGGCGGTATAAAAATCTAATAAATAAATAAATAAAATAAATAAATATTTGCGGCAGATTCTACGCCTCTTTTTATACAGTCCTATGTGCCCAGTTGGCTTAGTCCTAACCTTGATTAAGCTTGTGGCGACCTAACATGTTGGGTGAAGCCATCCGGGTGGGAGCACTGATAATTCGGTGACCTTAAGTTGAAGCTAACCAGCATAGGGCATCTCTGACACAGGTAGCCCTTGTAGCATTTTCCCATAGGGAAAAAAAAAATCTTGCATCTCTTCCTTTGACCGAATGAGAGATTTAACCATTCCTCCAGCCTCTGTCTTAGCGGTGGCTTCTGTGCTTATGTAAAGCAGTGCCCAGCTGTGCCCACGATACAAGATCAGCGTGCCAGGATAGAAGAGAGATCCAAGAACAGGGGAGCTGCACAGCTTTGGGGACCCAGGCTGGAGGGGCTACCCCCTTAACAAGCACAGGGTGCCTTTAATCCTGTTAACCCTTCGCATGCAGGGTGGATTTGATACCATCTTTTAAATTTCATATTACTGCACTTCCACGGATTATTTTTGTCGTTTCATTCCTCGCTATTGTTATTTTTATATTTGTTCTTTTGTTGGTTTTTATTGTTGTAAGCCGCCCAGAATAGCCCCACGGTGAGATAGATAGCAAATAAATGTAATAAATTTCTATCTCTCTTCTCTTCCCTCTTCTCCTTTCTCCTCTCTTTTCTCTTTTTTCTCTCTCCTCTCTTTCTCTCCACTCTCTTCTCTCTCCTCCTTTCCCTTCCCTATTCTCTTTTTCCTCTCTCTTTTCTCTCTCCTGTCCTCCTTTCTTTCTCTTCTCTTTTTTCTCTCTCTCTCTCTCCCCTCTCTTTTCTCTCTCTTTTCTTTCTCCTCTCTTTCTCTCCACTTCTTCTCTCTCCTCCTTTCCCTTCCTATTCTCTTTTTCCTCTCTCTTCTCTTTCTCCTGTCCTCCTTTCTCTCTATTCTCTTTTCTCTCTCTCTCTTCTCTCCCCTCTCTTTTCTCTCTCCTTCTCTCTCCTCTCTTTTCTCTCTCCTCTTTTCTCTCCTTCTCTCTTTCTTTTCTCTCTCCTCCTCTCTCCTCTTTTTTCTCTCCTTTCTTTTCTCTCTCCTCCTCTCCTCTCTTTTCTCTCTCCTCTTTTCTCTCTCCTCTCTTTTCTTTCTCCTCTCTTTTCTCTCTCCTCTCCTCTCTTTTCTCTCTCCTTCTCTTTTTCTTTTCTTTCTCCTCTCTTTCTCTCCACTCTCTTCTCTCTCTCCTCTCCTCCTTTCTCTCTCTATTCTCTTTTCTCTCCCTCTCTCTCTTCCCTTCTCTCTTCGCTCTCCTCTTGCTCTCGCTCTCTCCTGAAATTGTTGAATGCAGAGGGCCTCAGTTCTTATCTCTGTCCCAGCCTCTCATACAGGCTCTTGAGCATTTAGAGCCTTGGTAGTACAGTGGTTTAATGCACCCTGTTATTAACACAGCTGCCTGCAATTTCTGCAGGTTCGAATCTCACCAGGCTCAAGGTTGACTCAGCCTTCCATCCTTTCTAAGGTAGGTGAAATGAGGACCCAGTTTGTGGGGGCAATAAGCTGACCTTGTATAAATATACAAAAGTATGAAGGCTATTGCTTAACGCATTGTAAGCCGCCCTGAGTCTCCGGAGAAGGGCGGCATATAAATCAAATTAAAAAAAAAAAAATTAATCCCCACCTGTCCTGGTGAGGGTCTTTCAGGAGTATTGGGGGATGGGGGTGTCCCCCAGGCTGGCTGCACTAGCAGAACCCCCGCAGGGAGCAAAAGGAGAGAGAGGCACTGCCCAGCCAAAAGTTGGCTGCCTTGGAGATCCTGCGGCCTTGGCGTTAGCATGCTGATCATGCCCAGCCCGTGGCCGTAAGTGCCTTTGACTTTGGATAAAGCCAAGCAAGCAAATTGATGTTCTTTTCCATCCTATTAGGAGTTTAGTTCCAGAGAAGAGAAAATGATGATTAAAAGGGTCAGTCCACTCAGCTGCAAACAAAGCCGTATCTTGGACGACATGTCCGTGTGAGATCTTGGCTTTGGGGTCGTTCACTTGGAAGGTTTTGGGGGTGGATGGGGGTGATGGGAAGCTTGTGCAAATTGCACATTGAGCAAAAGTGAGATCTATACCAGCAACCGTTCCCAGAAAATCAAACGGAAATCGCATTACAGATAGTCCTCGACTTAATGACGACAATTGAGGCCAACATTTCTGTTGCTAAGCGAGGTAGCAAAGCGGAGTTTTGCCCCATTTTACAACCTTTGCTGCCACAGTTGTTAAGCGAACGGCGGCAGTTGCTTAGGTTAGTAAGACGGTCGTTAAGTGAAACCGGCTTCCCCTTTGACTTCGTTCGTCAGAAGGTGGCAAAAAGGGATCCTGTGACCCCGGGATGCTTCAGCCGTCATAAATAAGAGTCGGCTGCCGAGTGTCCGAAGTTGACCCTGGAGATGCTGCGAAGGTTATAAAGGTGGAAAAAAAAACCCGGCCACGAGTCACTTTTGCAGCTGTGCAGGTGTGATTTCGGTCGGTCACTAAGCGAATGGTCGTAAGTCGAGGACTACCTGCACAGGGAGGGGTCAAAGGGCTTGCATTCGAATTAGCACGACTTGGTCAGCTGACGTGGGGAAGCCCTTGGTTGGCCTGACTCTGCCAAAACCCACATTTTCTTTCCTGCAGAATTGGTACTTTCATGGAAGGAAGACACAGAGGGGTGTGTGTGTGTGTGTATTTGTGTATTTGTGATGGTTTTTCGGAGGAAAAAACAACCTTGCTGCATGACATTGTCACCCGTTTTCTCTTCCCAAGAGAACCTGAAGGTGACCGATCTTCCCGTAATTTCCCAGCTGGAGATGATTGACATCTACTTATCTTCTTAAAGAGAGGATGGGGACAATTGTGAGGGTTTATTGCTGTTTTCTCAAGGAGCAAAGTTCTCGGAGAAGATTACAGGTAGTCCTCGATTTACAACGGTTCCTTTACTTGACCGTTCAAAGTTTACAACGGCCCCTGAAAAATCACTTTTTTTTCAGGGCCGTTGTAACTTCGAACTGTCACTAAACGAACCGTTGTAAGTCCAGGACTACCTGGGGGGAGGCCAGAGTACTTTGTATTAACTCTCTCTCTATTTTCTCCCAGGTCGCCCGAGTCTTGCAACCCAGAGGAAAGTTTATCTCCATCACCTTCGCCCAGCCGCATTTCCGCAAGCGTCACTACACCCAGCGTGCCTACAACTGGTCCATCCAACACATCAGTTACGGAAGGGACTTCCACTACTTCCTCTACATCATGAAGAAAGGTGGGGTGTTGAACCCCTCCGACTTGGCTCTGGGGCAGAGCCTCCATCGCCATCCCACATCCCCCGGCCCTGTGTACCCCCTCCAAGAGCCGGATTGTGAAAACTACCTCTTCAATATTCAACTCTGATCTCTAGGGAAGGGATAACTCAAGGGAAGGAGCCGTGGTGGGGCAAAGCGAAGGTCTCAAAAGGGCAGTGCCAGGATACCTCCTCTAGGACATGGGGCTCCTACCTTGGCCACTTTTACGACTTGTGGACTTCAATTCCCAGAATTCCTCAGCCATCCATGTTGCCTTTACATCCTGTCTGAATTTACCAGGTATAGTTACAATAGAGCAAGGAGTGGTGCGGTAACCTAGTGGTGTAGCTCTTGCCTCACAATCGGGAGGCTCTGAGTTCAATCCTAGGTAGTGGCAGATATTTCTCTCTCTCTCTGGGCACAATGAGAATATATCTGCTGAATATAACTCTGCCCTGGCGACAGGAAAGGCATCCGGTCAGTAAACACTCGGCTCCGTTCAGTTGCCCAGACTCCACCTCGCAAGGGATTATGGGGTCATTAAAAGAAGATGATGAGGTACAATAGAGCAGTGATGGCTAACCTTTTCCAGACGAAGTGGCCAAAGCACGTGTCCCCGAACCCTCAAAATGCCCACCGCATGCGTGCGCGCCCCTCACAAGCCCCCTGTCTCCCGCACACCCCACAAAACCCCGTGCATGTGCACCCGGCTCCACCTGTGTCCTTCCCTCACACATGCATGCATGGGCCCCGCCTGTGTCCCTCCCCCAGCACATGCGTGCATGGACCCCCGCAGATGTGCAAGCGGCCCCTTCCTGTGTCCCCCCGCACATCCGTACGTGGCCCTCCCACATGCACCCCGCCCCCTGTGTATGCACAGCAGAGACCCGAAAACTAGCTGGCCGGAAGGAGGCACGCACACATGTGCAGTGGAGCTGAATTGGGGTGATGGCTCGCGTGCCCACAGAGAGGGCACTGCGGGTCATTTCTGGCACACATGCCACAGGTTCGCCATCACGGCAATAGAGGAAACTCCGTTCACACAGGATGTAAAGGAAAGAGGGAGTGGCTTAGGGCAGGGCTGTCCAACCTCAGCGACTTTTAAGACTGGTGGACTTCAACGCTGGCGGAGGAATTCTGGGAGTTGAAGTCCACCAGTCTTAAAGTTGCCAAGGTTGGACAGCCCTGCTCTTAGGTCACCCGGGGTAATTCCCTGCATTTTTAATACAACTTAAAAAATTAAAAAAAAAAGCCGCCTCTTCAATTGGCAAGGAGGGGCCTGTTCTCGGGGGAATTGGATGGGAACGCTTTCTGCTGCCAACTTAGTTGCAGAAAGTAATTTCTCTTCCCTTCCACTCCACGAAGCTCATCCTCTTGCTCATATTGTGGAGTTGTGAACCAGTTTATGGAAAGCAGGGAAGGGAGGGGTTAGAAGCTGAGAAGTTGTTGTTTTTTAAAATCTTGCCACTGTGCTCTGAATCCTTAAGTGTCTTCAAGGCCCTTTTCGGCCGCCTCTGTTTTAACAGACCTTCTGAAAAATCAGGAAGAAGGACACCATCCAGATCTCCAATGAGAGACCATCTCAGAGGGTTGGTGCCCCAACTCAACATTATTCCGGTTCTTCTGGGGAGGAGCTGTTCTGATCTAGGCTTCCCAAGAGCATGAAGCAAACTCCTTGTCCGGACAAAAAACCCTTTTTTATTAAGTTACTGTGAATTCCTCTCGTTCACATCCAGCAAAGTCTTTCAAGGGAGAATTTACAATCACAGACCTTATCTGTCTTGGAGAGCTGCCAGGCCGATATCTTCAAAATTTGGCAAGAAATCTGAGAGTCACGAACCAACTAAGCGAACTAATTGTCTCCTGCAAACTCTACTCCCCTTTTGCTCCTCTTTGTTCCCTCTGGGAGGGGCCGTTCATCGTCCACCTGTGGCCTTACTCCCAAGTCGACCCTTGTTCTTTAGCTGTTCCCTTCGTCTGGCAGCTCTGCGCAAGCGCACACTGGGAACAGGTTCCAGCTGTTTGTCTGCCTCACTGATGTCTGACTCCGAAGGCAGTTGATAGCTGGCATACGGCCCTGGCCCCTTCTCTGCCTCTGATGCAGAGCCCTCATCAGAGCCCTCCCCAGACTCCAGGACTGGCCCATGTTCCTCCCCAACCTCCTCACTGTCCGAATTTGCTGCCAGCTTCACTGGCGGGCCACAACAGTAACCCTCAATCTGTCTATCAAGAGTACATGAAGACTGTCTAAGACTTCTAATGTTTTTTTAAATCTTCTACAAAGCTTTAACAAAAGTCTAGTTGCCATGTACAATTCATGAACTCCTAAACCCCATTTTAACGTGGGCTTCACCTGTTGTGAGAACCCAGCCATCGATGTCTTCTCTGCCGGTCCTTTTTGACCAATTTTCTCCAACTTGGTGCCTTTCAAATGGCCCGGGAGCGATGGGGCTTGTAGTCTTAATGCCTCTGGTAGGCAATGGCCTTTCCATGTACCGTTGAAGTATCTCAGATTAATTCTGCAGCCTGAAACTGAAATTCTGCCATTGATTTTCTACTATGCAAATTTTGTATACATGAATGGTTAAAAACCAATCCTGGATTATTATTTTTTTCAAAGAAATATATAGGTGCTAAAATAGAGTGATCTTTGGATTGTATCCTGGGGAAGGAGGGTTTCCTGTTTCTATACAAGTAGTCCTCGATTTAAGACCACAATTGATCCCAAAATTTCTGTTTGTAAGCGAGACAGTTATTAAATGAATTTTGCCCCATTATACAACCTTTCTTGCCACAGTTGTGAAGTGAATCGTTGCCGTTGTTAAGTTAGTAACACGGCTATTAAGGGAATCTGGCTTCCCCATTGATTTTGCTTCTCAGAAGGTCGCAAAAGTGAATCACCTGACCCCGAGAAACTGCAACCGTCATAAATACGAGTCAGTGTCCAAGCGTCTGAATTTCGATCCCGTGACCATGGGGATGCAGGAACGGTCATACATGTGAAAATTGGTCGTAAGTCACTTTTTCCAGTGCCCTTGTAACTTCAAAGCAGTCCCTAAATGAACGTCGTAAATTGAGGACTACCTGTAAATTCATAATTTTTGAAAACTGGAGATTAGGGAGCCGGGCAGGGCCAGGGAGATCTGAAGTACAGTCTCATCTGTGGGATCTCCCCAGGGGTGGGCTTCAAAAATTTTAGCAAGGGGTTCTGTGCCTGGTTGCTGGGTGGGCGTGGTCATGGTGGGTGTGGCCTAGTCGACTTCCTGCACCATGGCGGTGGAGTGTTTTTGCCCTCCCCAGGCTCCAGAGGCTTTCCTCAAGTCTCCAGAGGGTGAAAACAGCCTCCCCAGGTTCCTAAGGCCCTCTGGAGGCCAGAAACGGGCCCATTTCTGGCCTTCCTGAACTTCCGGTAGGCCTCCCCGAGCCTCCGCGCGCACCCTGCACTTATCTGCATCCAAAACGGGCCGCGTGGGGACTCCTAGGAGGGGAGAGGTACGCAGGGCCAGCCCGGAGTGGAATTTGGGGGTTCTCCGAACTGCACAGAATCTTAGCTAGAGGTTCTCGCGAACCCACAGCAGCCCATCCCTGGATCTCCCTCACCTGAACCTACTTCAAGGGGGGGGGATCTTTGTGAGAAAAAAGGAAATAGGGGTACCATATGTCTGCCATCTTATCTCTTGTTCTTCCCCAACCCATCTTAATGCATAAAGAAGAACAGGCAGGCATTATGCGTGAGAGGACACCCTAGAAATAGCATTTTTTCCCTCACACTTAAGAGTGTCAACAGCTGCTCGGAGTTATTCCCCCTCACATTCAGATGCTGAAGAGGATGCAATGCAGGAAGAGTTTTGAGAACTGCAACTTCAGCGCTCGACACAAACCATTCGTGATAAGCGACGAGTGAAAAATAGCGACTTCTATCTCCCTGTTAGACATCTGGAAGTATGTGTGTATGTGTGTCCCCCAGCATTGCCTTCCTAAATAGTTCCAAATAGTAAACTTAAAATGACTTGAAAGGACAAACTCTGCAATGCCTGAGACCTAACCACATCATGTTTCATTGGAGGTTTTTTTAATTGAAGGTAAATTTGGATCGCGTTCAACCCACTTTGCATCTTTTGTGGACTAAAACTCACCGGCGCCTGGCGATTGGCCCAAAGTCACCCAGTTGGCTTTCATGCCTGAGGTGGGACTAGAACTCACCATCTCCTGGTGATTGGCCCAAAGTCACCCAGTTGGCTTTCATACCTAAAGTGGAACTAGAACTCACCATCTCCTGGTGAATGGCCCAAGTCACCCAGTCGGCTTTTATGCCTAAGGTGGAATTAGAACTCACCATCTCCTGGTGATCGCCCCAAAGTCACCCAGTCGGCTTTCATGCCTAAGATGGGACTAGAACTCACCATCTCCTGGTGATCGCCCCAAAGTCACCCAGTCGGCTTTCATGCCTAAGATGGGACTAGAATTCACCATCTCCTGGTAATTGGCCCAAAATCACCCAATTGGCTTTCATGCCTTAAGGTAGAACTAGAACTCACTGTCTCCTGGTGAATGGCCCAAAATTACCCAATTGGCTTTCATGCCTAAAATGGGACTAGAACTCACCGTCTCCTTGTGATCACCCCAAAGTCACCCAGTCAGCTTTCATGCTAAGATGGGACTAGAACTCACCATCTCCTGGTAATTGGCCCAAAATCACCCAATTGGCTTTCATGCCTTAAGGTAGAACTAGAACTCACTGTCTCCTGGTGAATGGCCCGAAGTCACCCAATTGGCTTTCATGCCTTAAGGTAGAACTAGAACTCACTGTCTCCTGGTGAATTGCCCAAAATCACCCAATTGGCTTTCATGCCTTAAGGTAGAACTAGAACTCACTGTCTCCTGGTGAATGGCCTAAAGTCACCCAATTGGCTTTCATGCCTTAAGGTAAACTAGAACTCACTGTCTCCTGGTGAATGGCCCGAAGTCACCCAGCCGGCTTTCATGCCTGAAACAGACTAGAGCTCACCGTTACCTGGTTTCTAGGTCATCACCTTAACCACTAGATGTATTAATGGAGGATTTTGAATAAGATCTGATCTTTGGTCTCAAAAGATCCTGGTTTTGCTGGGGGCTGCTCGTTCTCAGAATGGAAATAGTACAAGTTACAGTGTCAAAAAGATGACATTTGACTGCTCAAAGCTTTAACGGGCAATCTGTGTTGTGAATGCTTTTCTAAGAAATGTATTTTGAAACTCTTCGCTTGGTGTCATGGCACATTTTGCGTGCTTCTATTTTTTTTTATTTTATTTTTTTAATCTAGTGGAACTATTTGCATATTCATGTTTGCTATTGGACGGAATCTGTTCCTGGTGGTTTATGGGTCCTGGCCAGCTAGAATGGTGAAATTTGGACCTGTGAGGCCTGCATTCAAGATGAAGCCTTTCTGTAGATTAATGATGTGGGCTTTGTCCAATCCCTGTCCATTAGCTTTGATTTTCTGTCAAAAGCAATACAAATAGCATCCAGCTGCCTAAAGTGGATCCAAAAAAATAAAATCAGGGAAATGGCAGAATAAAAGTACGATGAACAGATGAGATAATGCAGATTTGATGGGATCAACTTGGAATCCTTAAAAGGATCCAACGGCAATTCCCAGAATTCCCTACCTGTGTTGACTAGGAATTCTGGGAACTGTAGTCCACAAATGACTGGATGGTGCTAAATCAAAGGAAAATGACATATATATTACAAAAACTGCAAAAAGACTAAGGCTCCTACATTAAAAAAAAAAAATCATTACAGGTTTCTATTTCCTAGAAGGCCGCAAAGTGAGCCCACCTCTCAATAAAACTTCCCTCTGGAGGCTACAAAAAGTGTTGCATAAGAAGAAAATATCTTTGAATAAGCTTAAGGAAATCCAAAACCATTTTGAGCTGTATTCCTTCACATTTTTGTGCAAAATAGTTACCAGGAAAATGGAGTTGCTTTTGAATTTATTTTCCCCTCTGCTTTTGGAAGACAAATGAAAAGATTAAACACCAAATTTGAGAGAATGGGGGAGAGGGAAAATGACGCCCTTATATATTTTTTTCTGGAATCTTAGTTTGCAATGCATTTCAACAAAAGCTATTTTAGAGGAGTGGAGAGGTGACTGCGAACAATTGAGTTATTTTGGAATTGGGTGGTGCTGAAATTGAATTTCGTTTAAAAATGATATCTTTGCAATGTGTTCAATTAAATAAAACGCATCCTAGCCAATACAAAACAGTGTGGGTTGTGCATGAAAAACAGAATACCCGGGAAATAAAACAGGAATGTGTGGGGAAACTTTGGAATTCGATAAGAAATATAAAAAAGAAAGGGGGGATAATAATTAAATTAAAACGCAAAATCCTACAAAGAGGAGCAGAATCCAAAAACAGTGAACACAAACAAACTAGAAGGCAGAGCAAATGTTTGACGAGTACATAAAAATCTTCCCAATTACACCAAAAGATGCAAAGATGTAACTCGACACATTTGCCAGAATGATCCACTGATTTAAAAGATTGTGAAAAAAATAATACTGAAAGTGGAAATGCTATATTCAAGGTATAAGATATTCAGGGGAAGAATATAGAGCAAAAACCCAGGTGCAGTACATATAACATTTCTGGAAAATGCAGGACTGTTTAAAACCTCAATTCCTGAAACAATAAATGCCTCTTTAAAAACTTTATTGCCAATTCTGCAGAAATAAACACTGTTGTCTCCACCTCCGTAACCTTTTAAATTGAAAAACAAGGGATGAGGAAATCCATAAAGGTCTGAAGTCAAATCAATCAAATTATTATTAAGGGGGAATACAAACAAATAAATAAAACACTAATCTTGTTTGAACTCAGGCTGCTCTGTGTTAAAAAGCCGAAAGGAAAAAAAACTGAAACGCAAATACAGCTCAATATGAGGATTGGACTAGAAGACCTTCGGGATCCCTTCCGAGCCTATGATTCCGTGATTGTGCTTAACGAAGGAGGCTTTCGTATTCTTAATATCTCATCTTCTATTTACAGGTAGTCCTCGAGTTACGACAGTTCATTTAGTGACCGATCAAAGCTTTAACGGCATTGAAAAAAAGTGACTTACAACTATTTTTCACAGTTACAACCGTAGCAGCATCCCCATGGTCGTGTGGTCAAAATTCAGATACAGCTAGTCCTCGATTTACAACAGTTCGTTTAGTGACCGAAGTTGTGACATCCCCCCCAAAAAGCGACTGATGACCATTTTTTCAGAATTTCAACCGTTACACAACATTCCCCAGGGTCATGTGATCTCTCTCACTTAGCAACAGAAATGGTGGGCTCTGGTGGGCTGCTGCCGATTCGGACCAGTTCGGGCGAACCAGTCGTTCCGACGATCAGCTGGCCCCGCCCACCCACACCTGGTCTATCCTATATTTCTTTTTTCTTGCTCAGCTGATTTGCGCACCTGCGCTGTTCTACTTAATGGGGCTGCCTTAGAAGGTAAGTAGCTGAGCTTCAAATTGCTGTATTTTGAACGCTGCCCGCAAGCGCATTAGGCTCGCGCTCACCGAACCGGTTGTTAGCTCACCACCGGTTGGGCTCAATTAT